AGGGTTTTTCCATTGCAATTTCTCTTATTTAAATTTTTAATAGACTTAATTATAGCCAAAATTTTAACCTTTTTAAAGAGATATCAGTTTTAGAAATTTTATCTTAAGATTTTATACTATAGCACATTTCTAATAGGTTTAACGAATTACATGACATTTATTTGAATTCAAATTTATTTTAATGACTTTATTAAAATAATTATATAAAATATTAAGTATTTACTAAAAAGATGTATTTTTTTTTTAAAAAAAAGTTGTGATATGGATTTGAATGATTGTTTTGAATTCTTAAAATTTTGTGCATTTGCAATGTACCTAAGTTAGTAGCGAACGAAGCGAGCTTGGTTTGCGAAGCAAACCATATAAGATTGCGTAGCAATTTTCGGAGGTTGGCGAGCGTTAGCGAGCAGGGGCCGCAGCCCACTAGTAACTTTATAATTATATAGTGTAGTTTTTATTACACACTGGTGTAAGAAATTAAGAAAATTAGCAGACTTGGTCGATTATCTCTAGAACTACTGGTCCGATTTTAATGAAATTTAATGTGTACATACATTGATACAATACAAAACAAATAACCATTCAAAAATTGAACTGCGCAAGCATGATCATGCGTAACACTCGTTGGAGTCGGAAGGTATGAAACAGCAGTTGCAGAACAAACAACAACAGAAAATGGGTTAATAGGGGGTATGGTCCCCCCCTTACAGAGATACAGGCCTTGTAGCATGATTCATACTTGAAATAAGGCAGTTTATCATTTCCGGTGGCAATCGGTTACAACGTGGTTTTCATTCTCTGAATGGTTCTTGGAGGGGGGTAGCGAGTTGCAATTGCACTCCAGAGCAATTCTCTCTCTAGAAATTCATAAACAAGAATAGCTCTAAGTAAGTGGCCTCGCATTATCGTCCATAAAAATGAACTCAGGGCCTGAAAAAGCGAACATATGGCTCAAAGACCTCATTCCTATACCTTACACCGGTCACAGAGCCTCTTTCAAAGACATGGAGAGGTGTGCGGCCATCCAACACGATGCCTGCCCAGATCATTAAACCTGCTCCGCCATAATGGTAGATTTCGCGAACATTGGAGGGTAGGTAGCGGAATGTAGGTAGGTCTCCATATGAACTTACGGCGAGAGTCGGTGTTTAGTCCTAACCGGGACTCATCAGTGAAGAGAACGGTCGTCCATTGATCCATACTCTAATCTCCATGCTCTCTGCACCATGCTGAACGAACTCTCCTGTTCGTAGAAGTGTGCGGGACGCAAACAGCAGGTCTTCTTGCAAACAACCCTCTCTCATGAAGTCGTTAGGAAACAGTCACCCTTGATACACGGGTTTCAGTGGCTGCATGCAAGTTACGAAAGAGCTGAGAAGCTGTAGCACTTCTGTTATTCCTCGCTATAATGGACAAATGGCGATCTTCTCTGGCCGTCGTGGCTCTTGGACGATCTTGCCCAGGCTTTCCGGTATTCTGGAATTGTTTCCATAAGTTACATACGACGCTGGGTGTACAATTGATTTCTCTACAAATCTGGACCTGAGATGGGCCTGCTTCTAGCCTACCTACAATTCGCCACCTCATTCCATCTTCTAAATGTTGAAGGTTAAGGTCCATCTTCTAAATGTTGAAGATTTAACCTATTACTGCAAAATATCACAAGAAATTCGCCGAGGTGTGCTAGCGAATGAAATGCTTCTTAACTTACGCGCACTTATAAAGCCTGTTTCTTTACTGGCTCCGCCTACACACCCGTGTCCGCTTACGTACAAGATGTATTTGATGTACAAGATTTGCATTTTTGTCTCGAAGCTGTGGTTTTACATTCAGTTCAGTGCTTTTCAAGAAATTCATTGAAATATGCAAATTCATTTAATATATTTCATCAGTGTATACAATTTTGGAATATGAATTATGTATGATAATTGCGAAATTACAAATGGCTAGAGAAAAATAAGATGTGACTAAAGTTAATAAATTTGGCCAGATTGTTTAAATTGGTTAGTTTCTAAGTAAAAAAAATTAGGAATACATTTCAAATTAAAAACAAACACTTGGAAATGATTAATGATATAAAATTTATCAAAAAACTCGTTGTATAAAAAACAGAAAAAATTATCTATAAAAGCTAAGTAACTCAAGTATTATTTCTTAATTAAATTTGAAATATTTTTTCTAAAAATTAACTGGTCACAAAATAAACTTTGGAATAAGAGGGAGGAAAATGGATAGTAGCAGAATTCGGTAATAAATTTTAATGTAGTATTTCTCTATTTCTGAGTAAATACTGCCTTGAGTGACATTATAAAACTTTTGTTCCTTGTTTTACTGCTTCACAACAGTACAGGAAATGAAGTAAAATTATATTGCAGAATTATTCTACTACCAGCTAAATCCCCTTGCTTACTCCAAAAATAAAACACAACGTAAGATAATACCAGAAAATACAAAATCTAATATTATATGACATCAAAACCAATGCAAAATAATGTTATGGTAATATTAGTTTGTTTAGAATCTAATGTTACATAATGCAGAGAAAACAATGGCCTTTCGTATCCTTCTAATCTTAGAAAAGTGTGCAAGATAACGTTAGATTTAATTGGTTTTCTGATGTTATCTAATATAAGGTGCTACTTGGAAACATTTAAAGTTTGAGTGAAATACAATTTCTAGTACATTGTATGGAATTAAAGCAGAACTCTTTAAAAGAAACTGAACATTTATGAAACTTTTTTCAGAACTTAAGAGCAAGAAAAATTGTTTAACTGAACCTTAATGTACTTGTTTAAATCATGCATTTCAGCGTTTTAAATAAACTTAATTTTATGAAAACTGAAATAGCAAAAAGTAACATTTTCTACCACCTTACCCACTAATATTTGAAGTTTGAGTGAAATACAATTTCCAGTGGTATTAAATTAAAACCAACTGAATATTTATTAAATTTTTATCAGAATTTTATCAGGAATTTTTTTTACTGAACTTTAATATATCTCTCTTAATCGTGCATTTTACATTAAATTAAATTATTTCATACACTGAAGATTTTAAAAATTAACAGGCAACCTATTTCAACTAATTATTTGTTATAAATTGGGCTTAGTTGTCAAGTTATAGCTAATGATTCCATTATTAAGTTTCATAGTATCCCCTTTACTTACATTAAAAAGAACAAATTGGAAAAATATCTGACCAGAATGTTTAAAGTCAGATTAAAATAGGCAACAAGTTTTTTGTTGCATTTAAACAAGTATTTGATCTTATCTAATTCGTCCGTAGAGGTTTCAAATCTGGAATCATTTTTGTTTCGTAACGCTACTGTTTTTTTTAATGATTTTTTTTTGTCTGAATGTACAAGTTTATAAAAACGTATAGGTGTATATACATACATATAAACTTGTCTCCGTTTTTAAAATATAATAAAGACACAAAACAAATGATGACCAGAATGTATTGCATCATAAGCTATAATGTATAATTATTTGCTTGTTACTACCACTCCCTATGTAGCAGAGATTAGGGATCACTTAATATTCACTCGAAGGAATTTTAAACAATCCTGTTTAGGAAAATATTATTAAATTGCATAAAAACTGCTGCTTGTTCAGAAGAACAGATTGCAGATTTGAAATTAACGACGCGAAAATATCTAAGATCCGTTCATAAATATCCTGCGAAACAAAACAAAACATTTGTTCCCCAGTGTTATATGTAACTTAAATATTATTTGATTCATTTAAAAAAAACTCATTTTACATCAAATTAATAGTAAGTGGGAAAAAATGTGATTTCAAAGTCATGGATAATTTAAATTCTGATTGATATTTCTATTAAGCATCGTAAATGTGAAATTTTTTTTAAACAAAAACAATTATGCACATTCATCTATTTCATACGGAAGATTTAAATCATCCTGAATAGAATATATTTAATTATTTTTAAAAAAATTATTTTTTTCAAACCTATCAAGAAAGTAAAATAACATTACATACAATACGATTGATGATCACAATCTTTATTTTATGATTTAAGTATAGTTGCCAACATTGATGATTTTGTCAAGCATTTATTAAATAATATTTTTGGCAAAAGTCTTAAAAATATAAAACTACTCCATGCAAAATAAAAATTTCTTCAAAAAAAATTCCTTCCAAAAATTACATTTTACGATTCAACTGACAGTGCATTAACTGCGGGAAGCTCAGTAAATGAGTTAATAGTAAAAAGGGTTTCAAGTTAATAATAAGTGAGTCGTTATTTTTGTTCAATTTGAGGTTAAACGATCGTTTTTTATTTACTTTCTTATGATTTTAATAATTATGGTTGTATTTCGATGTTTCTTCAAATTATCGTTAGAATCCTTTCAGCACCACCGGGACATATATGTCCCACAGACGTAAACATCACTGAGACATACGTGTCCCATTTAAAAAATCTGGTAGGACACATGTATCCCATCCAAACCTAAAACTAACTTTTTTATTTTATTCTGGCAGAATATTGAAGTTTTGCCTTATTTTTGATATATTAAAGTCGTAAATTGTCTTTTTATTAGAAAAGATAAACTAGTTTTGATAGGGCTTAAAACATCACCCAAATTCATAACCTTTTGCTAATATTAGGTTCATTCAATCAAAAACTCTTAAGAGCATCGGACTCAGGAGTGAAAGCGAGACGGAAAAGAGGAAAGGCTGGTAGTAAAACCTTTTCAGTTATAGTTAGTTCTTGGGAGGAGTTTACTTATTCTTTTTTTAAATTATTCAACAATATCTACCTTATCTTGGAAAAGAAGCAGTTTAATATATATGCTAAAATTGTAAAAGAAATCTTGATAGTTACAGATATTTTATTTTTTTCGAAGAAAGAAAGGCTGGGATGAAATGTCAGTTTTTTCTCTTTTCCGTCTTGCCATATAAAGGCTTTCAGCCATGATCGGATTTCTACCTTTTTTCCAAAATGACATAAATGACATAACAATAAATAATTTTAAAAAATACTTTATAAGTCTTTTTTATTTCCTAAAGTAGTATCCATCTGTGGCATCCATCCTCCAAACGCTTTTTCAAGCTCAGCAGCAGCTAACAATGTTAGCATATCATTTCCTTTCTTACCAACAATTTGTATTCCTAGAGGCAAACCATGCTTGTCGAATCCTATTGGACACTGAGTTACTGGCAGCCCTAATATATTGAATATACCTGTAAAACTAGAACCTCCATAGCAAACAAGTGATTCATTATGGTACGGAGCTGTATGCGGAAACGTTGGAAACAAAAACAGAGAATTTTCGTCCAGCAATCTTTCAAATTCATTCTCCAATTCCCTGTTCCAATTATCACATTGAGATATAAGATTTATGTCGTCGGATGAAATCCATTTTCCAAAACAGGCAGGTAGAATGAAATAAAATGTGAACTGACATTTTCTACATAGCAGTTTAATCAATTCATGCATTCCATTTAAATTCTTTATTTTTCCTTCTGTTACAATTTCTACTACGTTGGGAACACGGCCATAGTAAGAATTTAGTATTATTGCCATTGATTGGTTTATAAGTGGTACTTTGATTTCTTTCACTTTCGTGCCATATTTTGTGTTGAAATGCAATGCCGCCTGCAAGGGAATTTGCAAACTTGTAAGAAAAAAGCTTTAGATTAAATATTATCAAAAGATACATAATAAAATATTTTGAGATTTTGTTTTTTAAATAAATTAAAAAAAGATATTGTCATGAATGATTATGATTTATCAAAAATTATGGAAATGTTAACTAAGCATAAATGAAATTTATACAAGGTATGAATTAGATACCATGAGAAAAAAATGAATACGATATTATAAAAAATATCGCATAGTATGTCTAACATAATTCAAAACATAACTTATTAGTGTTCAATTTAAGTTAATTAAAAATTCGGCATAAAATCTAATATATATAATTCTCTTACGTGGCTCCCAAATTTTGGCTGTATTTCTTTTCCGCCGGTGGCAACGTTTGCTTTGTTTTGTTTACGTT